GCGCACAGTCATCCCAGGTCACAGGATCACAGTCATCCCAGGCCACAGGTGGACAGGCAGATCAGACCGCCAATGTTCAGACAGCGCAGAGCACCGGTGCCCATTCTGGTGTTCAGCAGTACGCCCAGGTGAGGTACACCAGCGCTAGGCCAAGCAAAGAACTTGTTGATGCCTCATATGGTTGGCAGACGCTTGAAAGCAGTGGCCATTTCATTTGGAGAGGACTCAGTGACCATTTTATCGACCCGTCCTTGTTGGTGCCAATCACATGGCCATACCGCGCTACACTTGTGTATGTTGATGATGGAAGGAAAGTTTTGGAACTGTGCGTAGCCTGGCAGTCTTTGAAAGACCCCATTGCTTTTCTACCTTGCGGAGAAGCCCAGTGCATTGTGGTCCTCAGCTCAGGTGAGGAAGACCCAAGCGTGTTTGGCGTTGAAGTGTTGGGCGAGGTTATCCAGAATAGTGGCTCTCAGGACAGTGATGCCATGCTTCTGGATGATGAGCCATGTGTGGATGCTCCGGCTGGGGCATCCGAGCCACAAGAGTTTGCTCCAGCACTGCCAGAGCCCGTGGCAGATCAGATGGAACATGTTCCTGCCTCTGTTCAGACAGATTCAAATGAGCCAGTCGTAGTGGATGGTATAGGGCTATCTATGGGGTCCACGTTGGGTGCACTTAAGGCAGCCTGCTTGAAGCTAAACCTTTCACAATCAGGGTCCAAACGTAGGTGCCTGGACCGCTTGAGAGGGTATGTGCAAAAGCAGCAGCTGATGGCGGAATGTGATCGCTGAAGCGGCCAAGGAGGTTTCTGAGAGGCCACCTAGGGCACAATTTGTGCCAGAAGTGCCATCCAAAGAGGAGCGACTCCTCCACGAGGTCACTCATCTCCCGTATAAGTCTTGGTGTCCGCATTGCACCATGATGAAGGAGGTGCCTGATCAACACCGTTCGCTTCCAGAAGGGGTTCGAGAGCACCCTACAATCTCCTTTGACATGAGCTACACTGGCTATGATTGCACTAATGAGCCAGCAGATTCTCAAAAGGACAAATTGGCTTGCCTCATAGTGCGCTGCAGTCACACGGATGCAATTGCGGCAGTACCTCTTCCTGATAAGAGTGCGCCTTCAATGAAACACGCAGCTGTGGAGGTAGTCCGCTTTTGTCAGCTTCTGGGGCACACTGAGGTGGAACTCAAGTGCGACAACGAGCCATCCATGTTGTTGCTGCAGGGCTTAGCTTTGAATGCTCGCAAGCGGTTGGGTTTTAAGACTAGGATTAAGAATCCGCCTGTTGCAGCCCACCAGGCCAATGGACCGGTGGAGAAAAGTGTTGATGTCATCAGAAGATTGGCCAATGTCATGCTGTCAATGGCCCGGGAACGCCTGGGAATAGAAATTGGTAACCATCCCCTCTTCAGCTGGGCGTTCATCCACAGTGCATGGTGCCACTCCAGGTATCATGTCAAAGCTGGCCTCACCGCTCACGAATGTGCGAGCGGGGCACGATACAATGGCAAGCTTGTACCATTTGCTGAACCGGTGTATGCCTATGTGAAGCCCCTTCAAAAGGGTAATGCCAAGTGGGAAATGTCAATTTTCTTGAGCAAGTCCACAACAAGCGACATGTTCATCCGCCTCACCAAATCCGTTCGACGGACTGGACAGCCATGGAAGATGGAACACAAGCTCGCTGAGAGTAAGGGTGTGCCATGGATTATCATTTAGGCACATTAGGCACCCGACTAGTTCCTCAGGCTAGGACTAGGGTCCGTAATGCTGTAAATGTCCCAGCTATAGCCCCCGTGCCGCCGCACCAAGCACAAGGCCAAGGCTAATCCTTTCAAGAGATCACCGCGCCCGAGCAGCAGAAACTCCATGAGCCCAATGGACGTAGCAGGATCAGATCCA